ACATACTAATCTGGCCTTTATGGGCAGCAGATACACACATAGTACACAGACATACATGTAGGCAAAACACCCACATACATAAAATTAAATTAAAATTAAAAAATAACCATATTGAAGGCAGGCAGTGGTGGTTTACACCTTTAATCTCAGTACTTGGGAGGCAGAGGCAGGCAGATCTCAGGGAGTTCAAGGCCAGCTTGAGAAATTCTGTCTCAAAAAAACAAAAATCAAAAACCAAAACCAAACCAAACCAAACCAAAAAACAAAAAAACCCAACCATATTGAAGTATGAAGTCAAAATCCAGAATGTGTTATCACCAAAGAGATCCAAACCTTTAATTCATATGAAAAGATCTGATGAGTGGTGGTGGTCTCAGCACTCGGGAGGCAGAGGCAGGCAGCTCTCTGAGTTCAAGGCCAGCCTGGGCTACAGAGTGAGTTCCAGGACAGCCAGGGCTACACAGAGAAACCCTGTCTCAAAAAAAAAACCAAAAAACAAAAAACAAAAAACCCCAAAACAAGACAGAAAGAGAGAGAGAGAGAGAGAGAGAGAGAGAGAGAGAGAGAGAGAGAGAGAGAGAGAGAGAGAGAAAGAGAGGCAGGGAGGAAGGAAGGAAGGGAGGAAGGGAGGAAGGAAGGAAGGTTCTCCGCCCCCTTAAAGCTCCCCACAGCAAACAGCTCTTCAGAAGAGGGCAGAGCCCGCAGGTCACCTGAGCCTCCTGTGTCGGAGTTTTGGCTGACTTGACCTTATGCAGGTGGCGCGGCTGCTGTGAGGTCTGGAGTGTGACTTCCATGTCAGTCCCGAATGCAGCTTTTCCCAGCACCGCTCCTGTCCTCAGGCTACCCTGTCGCTCTGTGGTGCTCCCCGAGGCTTGCCGGGCTGGTGGTGGTTTCGCCAGGCAGAATTTTGAAACCATTTGTTCTAGAACTGAATTTGTCAGACTTTTCTGACTCTTGAGACAGTAGCGGGGCCAACCTTATGTCTGGGTTATAGAATAATTCTCTCTTCAAAGTGTCCACATATCTACCTTCTTTTTATCAGCAGGACAGAGATGCAAGACAGCCCTCTTTGCTCCCAGGATCAAAGAACTTTCTAGAATAATAAGCAGTGTATACACACAAGGCATGCTGTCGTGTGTGTGTGTGTGTGTGTGTGTGTGTGTGTGTGTGTGTGTGTGTGTGTGTGTGTGTTTGCTGGGGATTGAACCCAGGGCCTGCATGTGCTGGGCAAGGCACTCTTCCTCTGAGCTACACCCACAGTCTCATTATCACCAACTGGCTGACTTATATTGTTGCTTCCATTTTGCAGAGCCAAGATTGAAGGCCAGAATTCTCTGAACTGGTTGTAGATGCATTACATTAGCTGGTAGCAGTGTGGAAAAATGTCATAGAATTAGTCATCTTGAGCCGGGGGCAGGGAGTGTTTCTAGTTGACCAGAAAAATAAAATTGCCTTAAACCAAAACTATTCTGGTCACTCTTCCTTCACATGCAGCACTCTGTCCCGCCCCCTTTCTCTTCTTTTTTTTCCTACCAGGAAAAGAAACCGGTTGGATGAGTTTTGTGTTATTCTTCTGTGATTGTAATTTAAGCCACACTGATGGTCATTTGTGATGTTTTCCTTATATTTTTAACCTCCAATTTGTTTAATGGAAACCTTTCACTTGAAACTATTAAGACAAACATAATCGTAGAATGAAAAGTGATGTAAAGAATTGATAGTCATTATTATGACCACGGTGCCTCTTTTGGTTAGTTCCTTGGGTCTTAATATTGGTCAGTCCTGCATTTCAATGAGCTTCAAAGTAGGTGAAGTTACTAGCTAGCTTTGTGTTCCTGGAAAAATTGCTTCTCTGATCTGTGCCTCCGTTTCCCCAACTTGAAAACAAGAATGTTTACATTGGGCGGGAGAGATGGCTCAGAGGTTAAGAGCAGTGGCTGTTCTTCCAAAGGTCCTGAATTCAATTCCCAGCAACCACATGGTGGTTCACAACCATCTGTAATGAGATCTGGTGCCCTCTTCTGGACTGCAGGCAGAATGCTGTATGCATAATTTAAAAAAAATTAAAAAGATCTATTAAAAAAGTTTGTATCAACAGACCTAACAAGTTGTAATAAGGACCCATCTTATAAAATCTATATGGAGTGCTTGGGCGCTCCCCTGTACAGAGGGGGGCTTTGATAAAAAAAAGTAGATTTTTAGAGGTTGGAGAGACGGCTCAGTGGTTAGGAGCACTGGCTGCTGTTCCTGAGGACCCGGGTTCAAGTCCTAGCATCCACATGGCAGCTCACACCTGTCTGAGAATCTGACACCCCACACAGACATATGTGAGGTGAAACACCAATGCTTATAAAACTAGAATAAATAAGTCATTTTTTTAAAAAGTAGCTCTGGGGGCGAGAGGGATGACATGCGATTCCAAGTGCTGACTGCTGTCATAGAAAACCCAAGTTTAGTTCCTGGTGCCCACAAGAAGCCCACAGTTCCAGTTCCAGGGAACTGACACTCTCTTTTGGCCCTCCTTGGGCAACAGGCATGTACAAGGCGCACTTATACACATGCAGGCAAACACGTACACACAAACTAAAATAACACTTAGCATAATTCAGGAATATCTAAAAAATACTTCAGGAAATGAGCCTGAGGGAAAGAGGATGTTTTCAGGGGTATTCTAACATTTGGTTGGGAGGACACAGATCAAATCACGCGGTACTGCCCCTTTTCTGTTACTGTCCTGTGAAGAGTAAACATTGGCAATAGCAATTGGTTTGCATTCAACAAAGAACAATGGCCATTTGGAGGGGCTTGTTGTAGAAGGGCAGTTGAGTGACCCCAGACTCCAGTGACTGTGGCGAAGAGGCCACAGTGCCTGGGGCCCTGCCCAGGCCACTCACCTCTTCCCGGGGCAGAAGATTTGAGATAATATGGGTTCATTATGCATGGTGATGTCTTTGTGACTGTGCCTTACAAGCCTTTCTTTTCCTCCCTCTCTTCGTGAAGCCTCCAGCTCTGATCCTTGGCCCCCTTGGTGGGGTTTCCATGGGACTGTCATTTGATGGATGAGGACACTGAAGTTCTGAGAAGGCGTGGAGGCCACTTACGGCCCCTACACTGACAGACAGTGTATCATCATCCTTCTTACACAGAACCCAGCCCTTGCTGTTCTCCAGTGGTTTTCTGACACACTTCACTTCATTGACACATGACTTTTTGGGACATTCCCATGGCTTGGTGCCCTGTGTGAGTCTCTGATATGCCCGTGTGGTTTTTAAATTCTTCTCCTAGTTAGAACTGCCATTTACTGGGTTCCTGCCCCTAGTAACACACAGAGAGCAGTTGGAGTCACCTGCTGCATCCAGCCTTATAGGCTCCAGGCTCCTAGAAGAGACAGGAAGGAATCTGGCTAGTTGTTTATTCACATTCCAGGGCATAGGATGCTTACTCCATTTTTCTTTGAGGATCTAGGCTTGAGGCAGAGAGGCTAATCTCTGAGTGTATCTTCCTCTAATGATACTATGAGGGCCCTAGCATGTCCCTGGGAAGGGTGAGGCAGGAGGATGTGGGCTGTGGCATCTGCTTATGAGCTCTATGACCTCTTGTCTCTGGGTCCAGAGCTATAATAAGCCTCATGATTCACCAGGTGGACTTCTGCTCAGGCAGATCCTGGACATTCCCCTCTAAGCCCTTGGCGCTCACTCACTGTTCACTCGGTAGGAAGACCCTGCCTCACCCTGCCTACCTCTCCAGGCCCGTTCTAGCTGCATTCTCCTTGGGGAGCCCTTCGGGGCTGGTGTTGATAACCTGTTCATTTCAAAGCCCAAGCCAAATCACACACTGGTCACTCCAGGAAGATAAGTGGAAGATGATACCTATTTGGAGAAAGTGAGAGAAGTTTCCTTCAGGGAACTCTTGGGGACAAGACACTCTTATGACAGTCTTACTGTGGAATTCCAGAGGCCAGCAGTCCTATAGTTTGACACATCACTGGACTTTCTGAAGTGTGTACACAGCAAGGGATTTGGTTTTTCTAGTGAAATGCCAAAGACTCCTTCCGAGTATTTAGTACTGGTGGATTCTGTTGTCTGGGTTGGAATGCTGGTGACCCTGGGTAAGTAATTTTCCACCATCTAGGTCTGTCCTCTTTCACCTGTGAGAGAACACTTACGTTGGTACTTATGTGGATGCTGTGGGGTAACCATAATTGCTGCCATTTATAGGGGGCTTACTATGTGTCCAGGTACTGGGCCAATCTAAGTTTCTGTTCTTACTCAAACCCCCAAAAGCCCCGTAAGGTACCCCGTGCTCTGCAATATTTTTAATTCTCCTTAGCGCTTGTCATTTTTTTTTTTACCCACCACATTCTATCATTTACTCATGTAGTTCAATTCTGGTCTTACCATCATACGGAACCTCTTGCCTTGTATAACTCTAGTGGGCCCTTGAATAGGCTTTTGGTATTCATCTGGGAAAGTGCACCTGAGAGAGAGCCTCCAAAGAGAGCTCATTTTACTAGTAAAGCAACCAGGCACACAGGGAGGTGGAACTGCACTATCCCACCCTCTCTGAGCCTGGTTGCAGTCGCGCCCCGCCCCCCCCTCCCCCACTTTGCAAAACTGAAACCTCTGGCATTGTCCCTGTGCTCAAGTAAATCCTCCAAAAATATCAGTGTCCTTCCCTGCATGTATCAGGCCCTCTGCTAGAGTCTCAGGCAGTGTGACGACTTGTCATATAGCTGATGGTTTGAGGGCTTGAATTGATTTTCACCACGCTAAGAAAAGAATCTTCCAGTGTTTGTTAGAAAAAATCTCTAGCCCAACTACTGCTAGCTGGAGTTTGCCGGAGCCTCCCGGGCCTTCCCAACCTGCTTTTCTCCCCTCCTGCCGCCTTCCTTTTGTGAAACGTTTCTTCCCCTTTTTGCTTGCAGCCAGTTCAGCTCTCCTGTAGGCTACAATGTGTCAGTTGTTATAAAATCCGGGAGGCGGAGTCTAGTGACGAGGGCGGTGGGGGAGAGCTCCGCCAGCCCTGCGGGGTGAGCAGTCCATCCCTGGGTCCGGCGGAGCTAAGACACTGCAGCCGGAAAACTTCCATCTCCCTCTCCTGGCTTTGATCTTCACCGGACAGCAGACCCGAGGCGCCGACCGACCGGAGGGAGGATGAGAGATGACCGGTCCTTTGGCAACCTGACCATCTCCTTAGCAGAGCCTTCCAAAGCGAACCGGAGGCTGGCCACACGACCCAGGAGGCGCCGCGCCTCTTGTGGATGTGTGTGTATGAGTGAGCAAGAGGGTGTATGTGTGAGTGTGTGTATGTGTGTGTGTGAGTGAGGTGTGAGTGAGGGTGTGTGTGTGTGCGTGTGTGTATGTGCGCGCTTGTGGTGTGGATGGGTGTGTGCACAGCACAATTGCGTGGAAGCGTGTCCGGGTGAGTGTGCACTCGTGTTTGTGTATGTGCGCGTGCTCTTGGCTGCTATTATTATTATTATTTTGGAAGAAAACCCCTGGAAATCTGGGACAGGTTATGGTACTTACTCCCAGGGTGATTTCTTCTTTTACAAGAGGAGCTGACCAGAGAAAGCCACCAGAGCCATTTCCCTGCCAGCAGAGAGCATTTTCCTCCCTGAAGAAGGATTTCTACCCAGCTCTGCAGCCAAGTAAAAGAGATTAGCCTTGAAACCTGTGAAATCGACTATCGCTGTGTGATTACCCAGGCTTGGGAGAGGGCTTGGAAAGAAAAGGAGAAATAAATCAAGCAGTCTGTCAGTTCTTTTTGCCACGTCGGAAGATGTCATCTCAAACTAAGTTCAAGAAAGACAAAGAGATCATTGCCGAATATGAAGCCCAAATAAAAGGTGAGCTGCGGGGCCGCGAGACTTTGCCTTCTCTCCCTTCCCCTGTCTCTCCCTCTGCTGTCTCCTCCTGTGCCTCCTTGCCTTCCCGAGAAGTTGCTATGCAGCAACAATCTTATTGTAAGGAGGAACAGCAGCGGCTGCACAAGTCCAGACTGGCTCCCACTGCAGATAGCGCCTGGGCTGGGAGCGTGAATTACAGAAAGGGCAGAAATCTCTGCATTGCAGGTGTGTGAGGAAGATCCTACGCCCGACTTTAGGAGTGTCACCGGTACTCCATCATCTTGGCAGTGATATGTCACTCTAAGGCCATTTTGACAGTCAAGGCCTCCTCCCCTTCACTACCATTATGAAAGCCCTTTGCTATTTATGTATATATTTTCTGATCTGCTCTCCCCACCCCTTCTTTTGGCTTTTGTGGGTGGTTGTTTCTGCCTCCGCTGCCTTCTCTGGGCTGAAATTCAAATGCATGAGTATGGGCTGTGGGGGGCACAGCATCCTTAAGCAGCCCTTCTTTGTCAGAGGCATTTCTTGCCTGGTCTGAGTTGCCATGGATTAACTGTTATGGGATATATTGATCCAGACTAATGCAGGCATTTAGGCATAAAGAGAGAGAGTTCTGTGCAGAAAATGTATTATCTGCTGGTGTGCAGCCCCGGTCCTTCTGTACACGGCTGTTTCAGGTCATCAGCCAACACCTCAGTGTATAATTTGGACTAGTAGGTGCTGCCTGGCTCCCATGGTTCTGGAGAAAGTCTGCCTGCTGAGGGGAGAGAGAGAGAGAGAGAGAGAGAGAGAGAGAGAGAGAGAGAGAGAGAGAGAGAGAGAGAGAGAGAGAGAGATGACCTTTGAGTGCTGGTTCCAGCTTTGGTGGCATAGAACCCACACTTCTTGCAGAGGCCGCTCCCTAAATCCGTGCTAGCTGAGGAAGAGAAGGGCTGCGGTTGTACAGCTAAATGCAGGCAAGCAGCATCCGCCCTCAGGCCAGATGGTGGGCTTAGAAAAGCACTGCTTTAGCAAGGAGAGCTGAAGGCTCCTTGCTCTGCTGCTTCCCCTTGCAGAGCCTGTGCCGGAGAGAGGTCTCGGCTGGGGCTCCAAAGCACTCATTTTCTTTCTGGTCCTTGGTTCTCCTTGCTGCGACACAGGGTGTGTTGTGGTCTCACGTGGAGTGGGCAAAATACATCCTTAGTGGGTGTGGAGGCCTGGCTTTGAGGCTGTGTCAATGCTGCCGAGGGGAGAGTGCTGCTTGGAGGTGCTCGTGGCCTGAGGATGCCACGCCTGTTACTAATGCTGCCTGAGGGCTCCACGCCCCAGGAAGTCAGTGGCCTCCGGCTGCCTGCTGTCCTGTGCCTGCTGCAGTCAACCTTCAGATATTGGGGGAAGCTTTGGGAAGGGAGCAAGCATGGGGTGCGGGTGGGGGCTTTGTGTTTTCCTTGTCTTTTAGTTTTGGGCCAGGCCAGCGTGCTGATGGCCCCTGGGTGGGTCCCAGGGTGAAAGGAAGAGAAATCTCTCCTCTTCCTGACCTCCTTCTTAGTTTTTAGCTCAGTGTCAGAAGCAGTGACTTAGATGTATCAGCCTTGCTGACAATTTAAAAACAAGTCCTTTGGCTGCCAGAGATGGGGATTCACACAACTGCTTGGAACAAAAGCTGGGTTTTCAATTTTGTATATCTACTTTTTAAGGAGTTTATATATTTTTTGAGAAAATCTTGACTGCTTTTTTTTTTTTTTTAAAATTGGGATTCCCATAAAAATGTTATGACAGAGAAGAGAAGGGGATGTTTGGACAGTTCGTCTTGGTAGGAAATCTGCTTATCTCTTCTTTGAAGGGTTGTTACCACCAAGCCAGTCAACCTTTCCTGAGGACCCACAGAGCATCAATTGCCCTGGCTAATTCACTTCCTTTTCACCTTTCACCTTTATTTTAACAACCAACCAGCAAATACCAGGCAATGATAATGAGTTTCTTCAGGAAACTGGTCCAGAAGATCTGGTCTCTTCATTTTAGTTTAATTTTTTTCCCTTTGTAGTTGGCATCCTTAAGATTGAGATTGTAGGATTGCTGCACCTGAAGCCCTTCGAAATCTTTTCTTTAACCGTTCTATTTGTTGGCTTGGTGTGTAGCTCGGTGGTAGAGTACTTGCCTAGCCTGTTCCAGGTCTTGGGTTCCATCCACAGCCCTGTTGGTTAATCACTGTCGTGGGGTTGATGTACCCAGGGACCCCAGCTTCTGGGGCTCAGTTACAGACATCACTGCTCTTGGCCTGCACGGTGTGCAAAGGGGTTAGTGTGAAGCCGGTTCAGAGATAAGGAGCTGAGCCCTGGCGGTCAGTGTTCAGTGACTTGCCCAAGGTCGCAAGGCCGTTGTCTTCCCAGGCTTGGTGTCCCTGGTACATTGTTGGACTGACATCGTCCCTTGAAGGATTGATGTCAGTGGCAGATGGCAGCGTTGGGCTGGGACTGGCAGCTTCTTGATGGCACCCCATTGTTTCCCCTCTTATTCTCGTCCCTCTGCCTTTGTGGCTTGTCTCAGAGGAATGTTTGGCCAATGAGCAAAAATAATGCTTTGTGCCCGTCCCTTTCGCCCTGGCGTCTGGCCAGGTTGGTGCAACCAGTCGACTTCACTAAGCAGGTCTCAGAGGCTGTGGATTTTGTGAGGGGAACTTAGGGTTTTTGGAACAATGTTGAGTTCTCTGTTGGCTTTCTCCGTTTTGTCTCCGATTAAGGCATTTACTGACTTAACAAAGGATGGATACTTTCATACAGCATTTCCATTGTAAATGTTTTTAGAGTCAAGCCTTTTCTTGACTCCTCAGATACCTGAATCAATGGCTTTGACTGAATACTTGTGCTTGTGTGTTCCAGGGATGGAAAACCCAGCATCCTCCGGGCCTACACACTTTTTTTTTTTGACAGCTGTGGCTCATGGAATTTTTTCTTAGATGGCATCATCCACATTGGTTCTATAATTTCTTCTTCTTGGGGACTTCTTAGAACAGGATAGACACTTTTCTGTGACCGCCCATACATTTGGGTGTTGGGAGCCTCTGGTTGCGCCCCTGACTGTAGTTAACCGTATGTGCTTTGGTGACAAGGCCCACTACCATTCACTGTCTTCTTTACTTCACTTGTCTGTTTGGGGGTTCTGGGGAGTTTCTCATGTACCTCAGGATAGCCTTGCACTATGTAGCCAAGGATGACTTTGAACTCCTGATACTCCTGCCTCCTAAGTACTGGGATTGCAGGCATGCATCACCATGCTGGGTTTATATAAGCTATGTTGGGGATTGAACCCAGGGCTTCCTACACGCTAAGCGAAACACTCTACCAACAGAGCCACACCCCAGTCCTTCACTCTCCTCAGATCTACCGCTTCGTGGGCTACAAATCCCAATGTGTTGGGTGCTTGGAGTGTAGAATGAAGATGATCAGTGGCAGATGGCACACCTCACTAACAGCAGTAGTGGTGACAACCATGATGGACCTGAGGGCACACGTCCTGCCCAAATGCACAGTCAGACTTGAGTGTGACCATTTGTTGCCACTTTTAAGCCCACCCACATCTTTCCATTTTTCCAAGATGTCGGTAACTTGCAGGAAAGCTTCATGTTCTCAAAGAAGTTTTGCCAAGAGGATGCCCCAAAGATTTAACTATCAGTACTCTGTCAATATGGTGGAAGAGACATCAGCTCCCCTCCCCCATGCTGCCTGCAATACTTCAGCCAGTATATCCCAGGTGTTCTGTTAGTGCTTTGCCCTGTTCACTACTTACACCATGCATGTCTGTTGGGTATCTCTGCTCTCCTAGGCTAGGGATCTTGTTAGAAACACAGTGAATCTGCCCTGCCTCGTTCTTGGTTCCCCGAAACTGGCTCCAAACAGACGCTACTTCCTGTCTTAGTGTCCCTTTACAATCTGCTTGTGAACCTTGCCTGAGAGTGAAATTACATTCTTGATCTGGAAACCGGCAGGCTGGCACTCCATTCCCTTTTTGAAAATCAGAACATTTGCCTGTCTCCAGCTTCTTGGCATCCCTCCTGTCCTCCACAGTTCCCTCGGAGATCACTGATAGCATTTGGGGATCTTATCTACTGCATTCTCCATACCCTGAGCTCTAATTGAGCTCACTGCCAGACATAATGGTCTGTTCCACATTCCCTCACGGCGCTCCTGTTTCCATTTCAACCCGATAGAAGAAGGAAACAGGAGTGCTGTGATGACTTTAGGAATATTCATGTTCATTTTAGGATAACTCTTTAATAGTGAAAGTGAAAAAGTTGGGGGAAAAAGAGCTGGTATAGAAGATAAGCATGCAGGAATGTCTATTACTCATTTGTTCACGAAGTCATTCAACAAACATTGACTATTTACTTTGTTAAGTCTTGTTATAAATATATATACATATATTATATGTATTATCAAGACCTTCCTTGAAAAATGATGTGAAATAAGAGAAGAAACTTTAAAAGCCCCGCAATACAATCTTGCAACTGAGTGCCAGAATGATCTCGGTCTTGCAAAGAGCTTCCTACCATGCTCCTTAGGAGGACTGGAGCCCCCTCAGAGTGCACATTTCAACAGGGTAAAAGAAGGAAAGCACACTGGACCGGGGGAGGGGGGTACTGTGGGGGGGGCGGTGGGACTGTGGCCCAAGGGTGGTTCTAGAGGGGCAGGTGCTACTCACTCCAGCTTGTCATTGCCTGGCTGGCCTGTGAGCCCCACGTGCAATTCTCACACTGCTGGGAGGAAAGCTGAACTGAAACAAGATCTCTTGGTTGTTTAAACGATGGCCCGACTTGGAAGAGTTCTACTCTGTCTAACCAACCGTGTTGGTGGATGGAGTAAGGCCGAGGCAGCCTTTAAGTTGAAGTCCATAAAACCCTGGAGTGAGCGTCACCAACTTCCTCTTTCATCTTGTCATTTTCTCTAAGACAGACCCGCAATCTTCCAGCCACGCTAGAAATCTCCCCCTCCCCGAAAATCCTCCATACTCCTCTCTACCAC